TTTGAAGCCCCACTCTGGCTTTTGCCAGGGGCCGCAATATAGGCAGGTCATCATTATGGCCAAATGTCTGAACGCGGTTTCTGGGACCTCTCCGCGGTGATCCTCATCCGCATGGTGGCACTTTGTGTCATCGGGTGTTTATCGCTTGTGTGATGTCCTGGTGGGGTAAAAAGCCAATCCAATTTCAAATAGCGTAATTAAAAAAAAACGTCACTGTGCGCGACGCAATTTTCATTTTTATGAAGCCCAACCCCGGTTATTGCCGGGGGCCCTAATTATGACCTAATCAGTAATCTGTTTATTGAACGGGGTTTCTAGGTCCTCTCCACTGGTGATCCTCATCCTAATGGTGGCCCTTTGTGTCAACGGGTGTTTATCGCTTGATGTGAGGTCCTGGAGGGGTAAAAGGCCAAGTCCAAATAATCGTTTGTTAAAATCCGCCCCAAATTGGGACGCAATGTTTTCTTTATTTTCAACACCCTACATCGGGGGTCCTAAATTTTACCTACGGGTTGGGTGGGGGAAGGGAGAGGGGGTTATGGGACTTGCGTCCGGGCGATTCTCATCCGAATGGCGCTCCCACGGGCTGTCCTATGTGCTAGGAGTGTCATGTTTTGCTACCGACGAAAGCGGTCAACATCGAGCGTAACAATACAAAAATAATCAGTGGTTAGATACTCAGGAACCGTCGCGCCTTCGGCACTTCCCCTTGCAGTACTTTTTTCTTGTACACAGCCGATTGCGGTGGTTGAGCTATTCACAACAACACATTCCAGAAACAACACCCAACACACAAAAGACAATAGCCAAAGCAAAGCTGCGCAGTTGCATCTGTGAGACTGTGTTGACCTCGTCGAACGAATGCCAGTCACTTTTCGCCACGATGTGTATAGACAGTTAAGAGAGTGATCTCGTAACACCACTAGAAGATAGAGCAGCTTGTAGGAACTGCCACGAGATCTCGCGCACGAGCTAGTTGGGATGAATTCCGTGATTAGTACCACCCATTAAGAGCCACCGCCTTCTCGTCAGAGCAAACAATCAGCATGCTTACAGTAACTTGAGTAAGAGGTACTTCTTAAAATGTAAAATTGCACGCGTTTTATTGGCGTTTCACTCTCATGTGACTATCAGCAGCACTATTCTCCCGTTAGTTGTGGATTTTTCATTGAGTGGGGGACAGGCTATCAAAACAATCACCACACATCGCTGCACATGTGAACTGATTTCCCGATAATCTGCACGTATGTGTCAGTTACTGTATAATACAGAGATTAGTCAAACAAAGGTCAAAGAAATTCGCCGCTTTAAGAAAACAGCAGCATCTGCGCAATTGTAAATTAAAGAATCATAAAGATATAGGAAATCTCAAGCCACATGCACAAATTCATGATGATCCGTACAGAAGTTTTCCAGATATTGGTTAAAGTGTGACGGCGTGAGTTTTGAAGGACATTATAGTGCCTGCCGGCAACCAATGCCTTCGCTAATAAATAATAAATAGAGAAGGCCGTGCCGGCAACCTGTTACGTCTGTGGCCGGAGCACACCCGGTTTTATCGATCGCGTCACATCGTTCATGCTATTTTCGGGTGTGTTTGATCGAATCTTTTTTACAGGAAGGAGACGGGGGAAAAAAAAGGGGGGGGGGTGTTCGGAAGGGGTAGGGTAATTATAACCCTTTGTTAATATTATTGCTACGACCACTGTGTCCTGATCTATTTTGTCGTTGTTTCTTCTTCTTCTTCTTTCCTCTTGCTCCTTCTCCTCCTTTCTACTGTTCTTTATCATTGTTAGTCAGCTAGTTGGGTTATCATCATCGCACTCCAGACATGTCAATATGTGCTCATATCCTTCCCTCAGTATGAACCCCAGCGTCCGATTGCAAATAATACTAGTTTTATGTTGATTAACACGTCCTCTGGTGTGCGTCTCTTTTGTGCTATGCCGATCCAAATTCCCGAGTCTGTCGTTGTCGCTAGCGATGTGAATTCACTGCCTCGACACAGAAGTCCTGCAGATATCGTTGTTATGAAATCTCTTTTACCTCTGTTTCTTCTTCTTGCTCCTCCACTTTCCTTCTATGTAATACCGCACCTACTGCTCTGATGCGTATCTTCTTAACTCCCCTTTTCCATTGATTGACTCTGTCCTCCCAGAAAGCGGCTCATACTCCACCCAAACAAACTCACGCCATAACTTGTTTGTCGTCACTGGATCACATGTGTCGTGTATTTTTGGATGCCACGTCAGTAGTTGGCAGACACCACCCATCACCCCCCCCCCCCCAACCGTCATCACTAGTATCTAATAGTAAAGTAAAGGACCCTTTTCCACGCTTTCATAGATTAGTTGACACTATGTGTGGTCAACATCGCGCCGGCCGCCTTTACTTACCAGGACTTTACCCGGTACCCATTTAAGCCTGGGTCGACCTGGGAGCCAAGGTTATTTAAAAAAAATAGAAATCCCGGCTTCGTCAGGACCTGAACCCAGGAACTTCAGATCCGTCGTCGAACGTCTAGCTGCTGCTCCAGGGCGCCTGCCACTGTTATCTGATCTACTTTGTAAATCTGTCATCTCCTGCGGCACCAGCCACCTCACCGGACACCTGACATGCGTGGGCCCCCTCCCGACATGTTGTGCTTGCCTAAACAAGCCCCGCTGTCGGATCTAGGACTGCTTATCTCGGACTCTTTTTTTAACGCGGAGTGCTGCATTGGGCATATGATGCTGGACTCGTACATTTTTGTTATAAATCTGCTGGCACTCGGTTGATGTTGTGGTCAGCATCGCACCGGTCGCCTTTACTTCCAGGGACATTACTTGGGGTTCATTTTAGACGGTGATAAAGAAGTAAAAATTCGCCTTGCTGCGGATTTGAACCCACGACTTTCGAGCTGGCAGGCGATAACATTGACAACACACATAGAATCGTCTTTGCGAGCCACGATCGACGCTGCCATCGCCTTGGAAATCACGCCACTCCCTGGTGCCCGCCCCACCCCACTTGCCGAGAATATCGAGCTGGCTGGTGTTAGAATCAGTCAGGCTGGTGGCCACCCCACTTAGCCGATCACGGGCGTATGGATCGGGCCACGCCCGTCACGTAGCTCCGATTGACATTGATTTGCTTTAACAGCAGGGGTTGAAGAGGAGTAAGGCTGTCTATACAACCAGCTTCTTCTTCTGTCGATCCATTTACCTCAGCGAAGAGTTGTTTCAATGGCAGGGTTTTAAGGCTGTACAACTTCTTCTTCTGCTGCTTCTGCTTCTTATTCTTCTTCTGGTTCTTCTTCCTCCTCATTCTCCTCTTCATTTTCATCAGGGTTGCTTTAACTGTACTGTTTTAGCCGTAAAAGGGAAGCTTCTTCTTCTCTTGCCTATTACTTATCTTTTTTTCCTCTTCTTTTCATTTCCCTTTTTTTCTTCCTCCCCTCCGTTTCCGTCGTATTCTTTCTGCTTCCCATATGCCGTGTCTAGATGTTATTGGATCTGCCACCACGTCTGCTGAACTGTGTCCAGAGTTACAGTAGTTGCTGCATGGACCCTCTTGTTAAGGTCTCTTGAGCATCGCAGTCATATCAGATCACATTTCTGAACATTTTAAGGCGCCTCACGTTCATATTCATTAAATACCTCTTTTAAAATAACATTTTAAAATCCTGGCAATAATTCTCGAAGACCCTATACTGTGGAATGTAGTTGAGCTGCTCCAGTGACATCTTCTTCCTCTTCTCTAGTCCTTTTCTGTCTTTCACCGTTATGTTTTGAGCATCGGGTTTGAACCTTGGTATGAGCTGGTACTAACGGCCTCTGATATTACATCCATCCATCGCTGCCTAATCAGCCTCTAGGTCTGCCTCCGTTACGTCAGAGTAACAGGACTCTCTATGGTGCAGTATCTAGTTGAAGTTATGACACGTGTCCAAACTACATGATCTGTTGTCTCTTGATCAAGTGGGTTTCCACATGTGTGAAAACTCTCTTCAGGGGGATATAAGGCCGTGGCGTGTGTAGAAAGGGACCGGTTCACTTTTCCCGCCCCATCTACACACTTTCTCAGTCTGATCCAGGTCAAAAGGGGGTCATTTTGTACTGCTTTCTTCGAAAAGTCTTTCGTGTGACTAAGGGGAGAGGGGGGGGGGGTGGTTTTGGACCAGTTCTACATGTTGTGGTGTCGGTGAAAGCTGTGTCATCGTTTAGTATAGAACAGGCGACATCGGCGCTGACGTCATTGGAGGGAAGACAACATGACACCCCTCCGACGTAAAAGAGTCTGAGAAAGTATGAATGAAAGGTCAGGGAGTGTGTAGATGGGCCGTGAAACGTGAAAAGAACCGTTAAAAAAAATAAATATATGATAGCAGCAGTTAAAATACAAAGAAAATATCGCTATATTGGACACATTCTGAGGAGAGGCGAACAAAGAATCACCAGACACACACTGAAATGGGAAATTTAGGGATTGAGAAAACAAGGATGCCCAAGAGAAACTCTCAAACGAACATTGATGAGAGGAGCCAGGAGTGCTGGTCTGGATTCTGTCCATGATATCAGAGTGATTGCACAGGACAGAACGGAATGGAGAAATAGATCTCAAGCCCTATATGACATAAAATGGCACAATAGGACAATTAATGGATGAATGAAAATCTTGAGGTATAAAAAAAAAGTAAAGGTGAGAGAATTGACCTAATTGCACCGAGTTTTGTCCTATGTGGCTCAATCTCTGCCGCAGAATAGCTAGCTGCCTGCCAAGAATGTCGCACAGAGCACAGCCTCCATAGCTCTGGCAATGGCTTCCAGGGATCTCCATAAAATTGCAACAAACAGCATCACCATGATCTTCAGAGCGTGGGGTTTAACACCACTTTGCTGCTACCCCCCCCCCCCCCATCTTGCTGTCAGCAATTGTAATCTGAATGTTGTAAACAAGCCCTCTGGCTACCATTGTTCAATGCTGAAGCATTGTTGTTCTCTCTCTCTCTTTGTATACAGGATCTCTAGACAGAGGTGTCCTGTTGGATGAAACAGATGGGGGTTCTGTGCCCACTGCCAGGTCAGGGAGCCAGTTGCCGTCCATGTCTGACATGCTAATATGCTACCCGACCCTCATGGGTAAGATGTGGTCTGATGTCTTTGTTGAGTTTTCATTGTTCAGCATTGGGTCTAAGTGTGGACCCCCCACTCCCCACTTTTTAATAATCATATCCTCCCCATGTGGGTTCTGGGGCCCCATTTTGGGAGAACAAAGAATAAATCCACATACCCCCCCCCCCCTCCCCCTTTCCTTTCAATATTAAGCATAACGTACAAAGAGATTAAGAGGTATTTCTTTCAAAGTCAGAGTGCACCTGCCTGAAAGGTAAGGAACCTGCAGCAGATGCATATAATTAGCCAGATCTGTAAAAGGGATGTGAATGCACAACTCAGGCTCTAGAACATGACTAGGCCAGAAGTTGATGACTACCAGAACTTTCCACTGGAGTTTACAGCCTGTGACAAGAAGAAGAAAAAGCGCGGCTTGATCTTGATACCATTATTGAAATCAGAGCTAATTGGTCAAAGAGGGAAGAGCCGGATTTTTTTTTTTTTAAAAGAAAACGTTTTTAAAAAAAATTGAATTACATGGAAACAAAAACAGTCAAATAAAAAGAAGAAATGAGACAGAATATTGTGGAGAGACATGACTACCAACACCACATGGCATGGACTATAAGAAAAAGATGACTGAAAGACTGGACTTGTTAGAGATCCGTTGCAGTCAACTATTATTACGAAAATTGCTGAAAGGTGTACTATGATGATTTAAGGCTGCATGTCTGGTGCTGTCACCGCGGACTGTGTAGTTGAGTTGAGTCAAGAATTGATGTCACAGTATTTGGGGCATTTCCGTCATCTTCAGTAGCCAGCACAGAGTTCCAATACTGATGGTACCTGTCACAATCTGGTTATGTGTCCGTCTTGTCTTTCCTCTGAGTGTAGTCAGCCAGCTAGACCCTCTGGTTACACTCAGGTGCCCCATTCTCTCCAGGCCATAATAATCTTCTTTCTCTACTGATTCCATTGCTTGTTCCCAAAGGGCCTTGACCACATCTGCCTTGTCATGTATTAATTCACCACCCAGTGGTGCGGATCCTAAAATTGAAAGACTGAAAAAATACTATACACAAAGTGAACATAAGGGTCCATTCCGGAGATCTCTTCCTTCCCTAACATCACGAGGCACTCCAGGAGTAGAGAAAAGATAGGTATGGGTAAAGTCGGGGGATGTGAACCAGCGCCATTGCACACGGTTATAAACCATAAGTGCTCTGCCACCAGTACGGACGGCTGATAAGAATTGTTCGCCTGTGTCGCCGTTCGCACGTAACTCTGTAGCTACAGCAACATTCCTCCATTTACCCAAGAGTATCACTCTGGTTCCCATTTCCTAGAGGCTGGGTGAACCCCGGGAGCCGCCCGGTTTTGAACACCGACCGTGGGCTGCAGCGAGTCGCAGCTGGATTTGAAAGCGAGCTTCTTATCGACTTCGCTAATGCGGCCCCCGTAGAAAAGAGGAAGAAGAAGACTGAAAGACTGGGCATTTTGGAGGTGTATTGCATCCAATATTTATTATGACGATAGCACCTGATTGATTTGCTGAAGCTGTGTCGTATATTTTCCGGTGTGAGCTCCTAAAGGTTAATATTGCATAACCAAGTAGTTTTTATAAACATAGATCCTGTCATGCCTCAGTTATGCTGTATCTCCGACGCATGTCACATGGCGGCTTACTTGTCAAAGAGCTGGCTGTTGCGTGCAGTACACTGGCTTCTTTTTTTTTTTTAACCATGTTTATGGGTTTTCTCTGAGGGTTTTTTCTGGAGATTGGTTCTATTTTGATAGCAATCCTCTTATTGACACGTAATCACTCGGAGTAGCAGGATTGTGTGACTGATCGTGTCTTTCGGATGGGTCATGTGGAATATAATAAAATAAATTAACAATGCAGTGAAACCTTGTTAACATGAAGAACAGTATTCGGTTAACATGAACGAAATTGTTGTACCTGCAGGGTTGTATTAGTATTAGTCCCTGGTTAGCACATCTTTTTAATGTCAACTCTTTTGTCAGTCTTTTGGAATCATATTGAGGCTATTTACTTCATATTGACTGGGAGCCGCTGCAGTGTAGCGGCTAAGCGTTCCTGTGCAGATTTTTTTTCTTACAAAATGATTTTGACTTCCAGGTTGACCCAGTCTTTAATATGCACCAGGTAAAGTCCTGGGAAGTTAAGGCAGCCAATGTGATGTTGACCACATCATTAGTCTGTAAAGTGTAGGTATGTGCCCAGTATACCCGAAGGCTTGTAAAAGAGTCCTTTACGTTAGTATATGCTACGTCCGTGGCTTAGGCGTTGTGAGTCAGACTCGTTATTCCAACGTACCTCGATTGAAACCCACTGCTGGCTGCGTGGATTTTTATCATGGCATGGGGCGCCGCAGGTCGACCCAGCCTTAAATGGGTACCATGATGGCTGTCCTGGGGAAGTAAAGATGGCCGGCGTAATGCTAACCACATTACCCACCTTGTGCTGAATGGTCTGTAAAAATATGGGTGCTCAACCCATATGCCCGATGCACCTAAAGGCGAAAAAAGGGATCTTTACTTTACTTAATTTACTTGACTTTACTATATATTGATCGGCACTCAAAGAAAAAGGTATAGAGATCAAAGAAGATGCTAGACAGCAACAAAAATCAAAGGCTGTAATGACCTTGACGGAAATTGAATCAGAATGTATGCATCACTAGCAAAAGAGTACAAGAATGCCAAAAAAAACTTGGTACTCTGAAGGCCGTCAGCAGAATAGTGTTAACGAATTGTCGGTAATGATTAGCATGTGTTGGAGTGGTAAACTACCTCTTCTTTTGCATTTGCCCTTTTAAAACTAGTTGGCATTTTGGGTTGTGATTTGCAGCTAGACTAATATCTATGCTTTTCTTGCTAATACCTCCAATTTCTGCAAACCACTTGTCGTCTTTTACAATATCTTCTTCTTCTTCTTTGATCCTTTTGTCAGAAAACTTGAATCAGGAGGCCGTAAGCCTTTATGAAAGTCCATGTCTTCTCGTGTACCATACAGCCTTGTCTTCATTGTGGTTGGAACAGGCCAGATTGCGTCTCATACAGTTGACAGTGTTGGAGTACATGCTCAGCATTTTCAGGTGTCACGCTGCAGGGACAAATCTCCATGTTTCCTAAACTGAAATGTTTGAACATAGGTTGACCAAGTCTGTTGTGCCCTGTCCTTAGTCTGAATATAATACATTGTCGCTCTCTCCCCTCCCCCTCAAAAGGGGTTATGGAACCCACCAAGAAGGCTTGCTGAGAAAGTCATAGGTACTGTAGTAGATTTCATAGACACTGTTGTAGGATTAAACAGGATACCACGGAATGAAGTAATTGATAACAGAATTATAGTGGTGATAAAAGCAGAGTTACCTGCTGAGACGATGGTCCAAGTGTTAGATCCCCAGAAATACCAGTGTGTTTGTGTGTATATGGGGGGTGAAGAATCGAACTACTGCCCCTTAACATCATCATCAGATTGTACCATTATGCCCCACATAGGGCTAACAATGAAACCTCCATTCTATTCTATCCTGTGCAGTCCCATCAATATCATGGATGGAATCCAGTCTGGCACCTTTGGCCTCTCTCTTGACTTCTTTTTAGGGTTTCTTTTGAATATCCTCATATCCTGAATCCATTTGTTCTCCATTTAAGCACCTGTTTGAAGATTCTGTGTTCTTTTCTTCTCACGATGTGCCTAATAAATCACCATCGTTTTATCTTTGTCTCTTAACTAGTTTGCTATAAAAGGTGATTAATTAAGGCTTCGCTGAAAGATTATGTGGTAGCCTGAAAAGTACAGATATCACAACCTAGCTGTAAATCACAGCACAACATGCTAATTGCTCCTTTTAAGAGCAAACAGAAGAAATTCCAAAAGTTGGCAGGATTTGTTCATACTAGGCTGTCTCTGAGGGTGGATCCAGCCTCATGAAAATTGTACCAGATCAGGGAAAGCCAGGTAGTCAGGAACTGGACAGCCTGTCGCTTATTGTGTCTATAATTGCTTTTCCTGTTCTGCATTGCTGCAAAGTGAGTGAGACTTTGCACGCTATAATTTGGCACCAGAAATATAGGTATGCCACTTAATATTAGTATTATGGCAGCTCTGCCTGTCTATGACACCCAGCCATGTCAGTAATAAAAACCTAATAGGAATTGAATGGGTGTCGTTGCAGCACTTTGTCTATCAGAAACACCCACATATATCCGATTTTCTAAGCAGCAAGTGTCATATTTGCCAAAAGTTTTTATTTTATGACATCAGATTTAACAAATAAACTGCCGTCTACATTTAGTTAGCTGTTAGGTGATTAGCCAAAAAGTTTTCCCAGTCTTGCTGGTCTGCAGGCTGTAGAAAGGTTTGAAGAACACTGACCCAACACTTCATACCCCAGCAGTGTTATCTGTTGTATGATTAACTTTACCCTTATACAGAATTTAAGGATATAATTAGAATCACTTAGCACTGGAACCATCAGAGTCAGAGGAATAAAGGCACACCAAAAACACGTGGAGAAAGGAGCTAGAGAGTGCGGGTAAAACTATGACAAGAGGGAACTTCATGCAATAGCAAAGGACAGGATGGCTTGTCGTGAGTTGGTTGAGGGCCTATGCTCCATTGGGAGATAAAGGGCAAGAGAATGAGAAGGGAAAAGTGGATAACAGATAAATTAATTATATAAATGATTAGATAGTAAATGCTTTAAAACCAATTTAATTTGTGGGCAACCAGGCAGGTTGTAGATTGAGCGCTTGAGAGCAGCCGACAGATTGTGGTTGGCCAGGGTTTCAGGTATCCCGATGATAGGCAGAGGATCACACTATAGTTAGAATGGCTACAGTCACCCGACTGGTATGGTCACTGTCATGATGAAAAGCAGTGGCAAACTACCATGATTTCACAAAAGCAAATGAGGCAGTCCTGCTGGAGACAGAGATGAAAATCATAAACTGATTAGAAATATAAGATGTCAGCGTTTTTTGGTTTCCCCCCCCCCCCCCCCCCCATCCCCCATCCCCTATTGTGCTATTGTGTAAGGTAAGAGAAGAAGAAGAAGTGTTTTTTGGTCATGTTATGAGAAGGAATCGACTCAGAAATCTGATAATGACTGGCAGGATTGATGAAATACTTGGTTAGCAAGCTATATGGGGGGGGGGGGGGGGGAAGGAGAGACAGAACTACTGACCTGATCCTTGATTCTAATGGCACATGATATTGATAAGTCAGGCAGTTATAATGGTGCATAGGATCACTTCTTTGCTGATTGATCATGAGTTCAGATCCCTCTCTAGCCAGATTTGTTTTAGTGCTGTCTCCACCGTCAACCCAGCCTGAAATGGGTACCACAATATTTTCTGGGAAGTAAAGGTAGTTACCTGTGTTACCAGTACCTGGTGTGGACATTAACAGCAAAAGGAAGAAGAACAGTCAAAACAGCGGAAATTTTACGATGAATCCTAAGTGTGCCTACAAGAGATGGGATCAGAAATGACGATATCAGGAAACAAGTTGCGACAGAACCTGTACTAAATAATGTCAAGAGATAACAGATCAAATGGTTCAGACATGTGTCAAAGTTACCACCACATAGTGTACCACAGAGAGCCCTGTCACTTAGACATAACGGAAGCAGACCTACAGGTCGACCACGCAAGAGATGTATAGACGGAATATCCGAGACCGTAAACACCAGCATCTTTGTAGAATCTACCAAAGTTCACACCTGATGCTTCTCCAAAACCCAGCACTAAAAGGCAGAACAGGACTAGAGAAGAAGAAGAAGAAGTAAAGGCAGTCACCGTGACGTTGACCACATTGCCTCTTGGTTGCTGATTGTTAGACGTTGGTGTCTCTTGTTCATGGTATCATACTTTTGTTTTTGACTCCCACAGGTTACTACGCCTGGCGGAATCGAGCTCGTGGATCCTGGTATATTGAAGCCATCGTTCAGATATTCATGCGCTATGCTAAAAATGAAGATGTCTGTGCCATGTTGAACAGGGTAGGTTGTCACTTTTGTTTACTCTGTTTATGAGTTGTCAACTCTTCTATTTTAGTCATCAAGTAATGTCAGTCACAATGCATGTGGCACGTAACACTATATGGCTATAAAACATGAACTGTAAGAAAGAACATTAATGAAAAGACTATACAGAAGACCAAAGAATACATGGAGAAGGGAGCTAGAGAGTCAAGCTAAAAAGATGAGGTGGACAGGGATAGCAAAGGATAGAACAACTGGGCATGAGTTGGTTGAGGGCCTGCGCTTCATTGGGGGTTAGAAAGGCAGAAGAAGAGAAGAAATACAGAGTGTACAGTAAGTTTCCATGCGTAAGGAGAATAGCGCTGTTTTGAAAACACATTGTGGTGTGTATCCTCCACTGCTGAAGAACACATGTAAGCACAGCTGGAGTTATTATGCCTGTAACGGCATTGGTCATATTTTTATTTTTCCTGTCTATGGAAACTCAAGAAACACCTAATAGAAAACAGCTAGGTCAATAGGAACTGATTTCTCATATCTGAAAAGTACAGTCCACATTTTAGGACATATCATGAGAAGAGAAAAAAAAAGTATGTTGTGACAATGGGAAAGTTAAAGGGATAGAGAGTTGAAGAGAGACGTAGAGAAGATGTTGAGTAACTTGAAACCCTGTCTGGATTAACATCTATCAAATGACTGACAGTACATGGAACAGAAGGCTGTCAACATACATGATTACCAACACCACACAGCATAGACTAAGAATTAACTGGGAAAACAAAATTATTTGTTAGTACACATTCAGTCAGTCAGATGCCATCTTCACAGAGAAAAAGGTTGGCTGAAACCATTGTCTGTGTCTTATCCTTAGGTCGAGTTGAGTTGATTCAAGAACCGACATCACAGCACTCTGGACATTCCTATAGGCTGACAGAGTGCTGTTTGTCCATCTCTTGATGTTATCCTTCCGCTTGTATCCCTGTCTGCCTCTTGCTCACTTTATCATTTTTTCCCTTTACTGGGGTTTTTATGAGTTTTGTGCCTTTTAATGTGGTTAAAATGTTTCACTTAGCCTTTTTTTTTTTTCTATTTCTTTCAACAACTTTTTTCATTTCCAGTCTTTTCGGAACATCTGTATTATTTCCATGAAATATGACCTCTTCTAAATATCTACTTCTCTGTAACATCAGTATTTGATTGTTTCTGTTTCCATGAAATATGACCTGTTCTTCTATACATCCACATATTAAAAACCTCTTTATTTGATTGTTTTTATTTCCATGAAATGTAACATATTCTGTATATCCACATCTTTAGAACTTCTGTATTTGATTGTGTGTGTTTTCCCTCATGAAATAGGACCTGTTCCTCTCTATATCCACATCTTCAGAACTTCTTTATTTGGTTGGCTTTTTTTGTTCCTCCATGAAATGCGACCTGTTCTGTATATCCCCCATATCCTACACACTAACAACACCATGTATAATATCTCCCCAGGTGAACCATTTAGTGTCCAGGAAAGTGTCCGAATCCTGCTTGAAGGAGATGAATCAGATGTCACAGATGTCTGAGTATAAGAGCACCCTTCGCTTTCCTCACTTTTACCTTTTCCCTGGAATCGTCATCAGGAACAGTCCCCAGCAGAACCTCCAGAATCCAGCCATCAACAGGAGATAATAGCAACAACAACAATGTTTGAGATCAAGAGTCCCTCAGGTAAAAGCTGAGAAGAACGATAAAAACATGCCAGCATTGTGCAGTCTGTAATTAACTAGCCAAATAAATGTTGCTTTATAGCAGAGAATACACATATTTCTTAGTAATAACAAGAACTATACACATATTCTTGGTAACAAAGAAGAACTATACACATATCTGTTAGTAACAAAGAAGAACTTAACACATATTTCTTAGTAACAGAGAAGAACTATACAAATATTTTTAAGTGTCAGTGAAGAACTATTCAAATATTTCTTAGTAGCGGCAAAGAACTGTACTGATACTTCTTGGTACACTAGAATTGTACAGATATTTCTTAGTAACACAACAGCTCTACAAATATTTCTTAGTGACATAAGAACTGTACAAATATTTCTTAGTAACACAAGTATCATATAATTTTTTTTTAACAAAGAAAACCTGTACAAAGATTTAGTCATAGACAAGTTGGTTGCCTATCCTTCATATGACACCACAAACAAACACCAGTTTTTATTGGTTGTTTGAGGTTGTACTGGGCAGTTTACATTGAGTAGTTTGCCATTGCTTTCTGAATCATACGATGTTCACATAATTGTCTAAATCAGCGCAATGCCATCTGCTACCAAATTGCCTGCAGCTGCTTTTAACTCTGGTATGTCAGAATTATTAAAGTGCATTCATAACCACTTAGCCATGGAAGCAGACTTTATTAAAATATGAGGGGTCTTAACCTTAAACATGAGATTAAAGATTACATTAACCATGTCATCATCTTGTAACCTATCAGTATTGTTGTTAAGGATGTCCAGAATGTTAAGCCCATGACACAGTGGTGCAAATGAGTACAGACCGGCATCTGGACCTTCATTCATATATGCCTTTTTATAGATTTCACCCCTTCAGTGATTTTTTTTTTTGGTAAAGGATAACAGAACGCTGCTGCTCTTTAGTGAATGTCTGAAGTTGGGCGGCCATTCTTAAACTGTCATTAGGACATCACTTTGTCGTCTGCACCGTGGTGTCACATGCTTAACACTCTTGACACCCTTGACAACAGTGTTGACAGGTTACAAGACAACGACATCATAGTTATTGTAATTGTTAGCACACTTTCAAGTTTTTATTTAAAGCTGCCTTGTATATGGTCAACATTGGACCAGTTCTACTGACTTCCCAAAACATTGCCTTATACTAGTTTGAAGCTCTTAACCAGAGAGTACATTTTTTAAAAATGTCTAAACAAATCTGTTTGGTACGATGTTGAACCCAAGACTTTCTGGCCAGCAGATGAGTGTCTACCCCTGTGTTGCCACTTTGGATGTTTTACATCCAGATTTAGATGTTTTCCCTTGCATTCATATGGCATTTTTGACGTTTAGATTGTAGATGTTTTTCTAGATATTTTTCATTTGGAGTAGATTTATCAAATCTAACCTAAGAAACGGGATGAAATTTGACCTCTTAAATGCTATTTTGACACACACACACACACAAAATTAAAAACTGGAACAGCTAAAGCATACCAGAGTCATTTTGGATCTGAAGCTTCAACTTCATCATCCAAGCTAAATTTATCCTATTGTAAGGCAGGCTTTAGTGAAGATGAGGACATGATTCTATAGGGTAAGTCATTTCAATTGCTATGTAATTTGTGACTCTTTCCATTCAGATGTTTTTTCTAGATATTTTCCGTGCATGCAAATATAGATGTTTTTAGATATTTTTTTACTCCATTTTGGATGTTTTCTGTCCAAAAAAAGTGGCAACACTGGTCTACCCACTGTCCACGCTGGCATGGCTGGTGATTTAAAATTAGTTGTTAAAGATTCAAGTCTCTTGTGATGAAAATATTTTTAAAGCATGAAGTGTAGTGGTTATCAATTCCCATTCAAGACAGTCTAATTTAAACAAATTGTTGACTGTCATTATTAAAGAAATTTAAGAGTTTGAAAATCAGAGAAATTAAAGAGAGCGATGATTACAACATTTCAAGAACTTTGTGATTTAAGAAATTCAAACATGCGATGAGTACAGAAATTAATTAATTTGATAATCAGAGACTTTCATGAATTTGATGAATAAAGAAATTCAAGAATTTGATGATTAAAGAAAGTTTGTGAGGCAGATTTTTGCAAGTAATGCTAATGATACTTTTTTGAGTTTATAAAACACAGGTACTTGTACTGTCGTCCCCATGTGGAATGCAATTTTTAGTTTTTTTGAAGCCCCATCCTGGCTTTTGCCTGGGCCCTAAATATAGCCGGGCCTTAAATATGGCTTAACGGCTGAACAGGATTTCCAGGACCTCTTCACGGGTGATCTTCATCCGTATGGTGGCACTTTATTTCACCGGGTGTTTAGCGCTTGTGTGATGTCTTGATGGGGTACAGCTTACCTACCCACGGCAGCTTGTGATCCTGCTACATTTGTGAGTCTATACTTTAACTGGGATTATTGAGTAAGTCATCAGATTATTCTGCATTGTACATGGAACCATTCAGTCCATAAGTGCTCTCTTCAGAAATCTTGTTGTGTGAGGATGATCAGAATGAGTTAAATACAGTAAATACAGACATAACAGTCTGGGGGGGGGGGGGGGGGGGGCTGCGTAGTCTCAAAGCATGGTGTCTGCCTCGAGTGCTAGAAATTCCGGGTTCAATCCCCTGTAAGGGCTAGGATTTTTGCACCTAGACTTGGACATCTAGTAATTCCCCCTAGTCTATGGGTAGTGAGATCAGACGCCCGTGTGCATTGTTGCGCGTGTAAAAAATCCCTTGGCAGTTGGAAATCGAAAAGAGTAGCCTAACGGCGCTGCCCGGTCAAAATTTGGAGTTAAAAAACTACTTAAAGTATTTTTAGGATCCTCGCCAGTGTTTCAGAGCCTGTGCACTGTGCTGAGCTTCTTCAAACAGACCTGAGTTAGAAGAAAAACAGAGCACTGATGGGTTACTACTCACGTTCCATGACGTTGATCCTCTGTTCAAACCTCAGACCTCTTTTCTGCCAATTACAACTGGATTTTTTTTTGGGGGGAGGGGGGGGGGGGGGGGGGTTGTTGTTGTTAAAGCTGTTTTGGAAATTTAGGTGGAGGGGGGTGGGATGTCTTGAGTCTGAGGACCACACAGCTAGTTCTTCTTTGCACTGACCAGCTGTAAACTCAACCAGAACGTTCTGGCTACTTGTCTACTTCTGGTTTTGTGTGCACATCCATTTTACAGATCTGGCTTATTTGTAAACGGACTCATGGTTCCTCGCCTCCGATGGAAGCACCCCTAATTAGCTGACATTTACAGCATGCTTGTGGGGGGGGGGGGGTCTGTCCTCCCCCCTCTTGCCCCCAAAATGGGGCTCCAGACCCCATACTGGGCACAGGGCTAGTTCAGTTGTCATGAACTGTGCAGGCTAGGAGTTTTTTAATTTTTGCTGCAGGAAGAAATAGATTGATGCCACCATATTGAGGATTCAAACCTGGGTTTCCCAAATGAGAGCTGATCATTCCAACCATTCGGCCAGATGTCCCTCCACAAATATGATGTCACTGACCTGTTGGGGTTGTGTCTTTGGGTCATCAGCATTTAGTATATTTCACTGGCTGACAAGGTGATTCTTCTGTCAGTGAGCTGTCATATTTAACTTGTTAATTCATCGAAGCTTTGAAAGCATTATACTGCTGATTATAGTCTGGTTATAACCAGATCAGTTCTGTTTAATGTTCTCAAAAAAAAAACTGTTGTGTCATTACCAACAGGGTCTAGGTATTGAATTATAAATGTTATTTGAAAATGTATGTTGTATTTTAAAGTTATGATGCTATATTGTTGTGATTTTGTGTGTGTAGTGTTAGACATTTTAATTGACCACAACTATGTTTTTATTTTTAATTTTTTAAAATTTTTGTTTTAGTGTTGCCTGGGCCTTGTTAACTCTAAACAAACTTATAACATAAAGAAGCACAAACTTAAATGTTATCTTTCAGGTGATGATCAAGAATTTGTTCTAACTAAAAAAAACACACAAGAAATTAGGGTTACAGAAGAAAAAAAACTGAAGGATTATGCTTTGTGTTTCAGCAATAGATTGTTGGATTGGCCAAAGCAACAAACATTACACACACACACAAAACATGGGTCATTAAGTTTGCATCACACAAAACCTGATTCATAAAAGCTCTTACCTGTACAAAGCATGGGTCCAAAACATTACCACCCGCACAAAATATGGGTTCAGAAAGTTATCACCCACACAAAATATGGTTCAAGAAAGTTATTATCGACACAAAATATGGGTCCAGACAGTTATCACCCACACAAAATATGGGTCCAGACAGTTATCACCCACACAAAATATGGGTCCAGACAGTTATCCCCACACAAAATATGAGTCCAGACAGTTATCACCCACACAAAATATGGGTCCAGACAGTTATCACCCACACAAAATATGGGTCCAGACAGTTATCACCCACACAAAATATGGGTCTAGACAGTTATCCCCACACAATGCATGCGTCATTAAGTTGTTATCCACACAAATTACAGGTCCTAAACATTGTTACCCACACAAAACATAGGTCCAGAAGGTTACCACCGACACAAAGCATAGGTCCAGAAGGTTACCACTGACACAAAGCATATAAGTCCAGAAGGTTACCACCAACACAAAGCATAGGTCTAGAAGGTTACCACTGACACAAAGCATAGGTCCAGAAGGTTACCACTGACACAAAGCATAGGTCTAGAAGGTTACCACCGACACAAAGCATAGGTCTAGAAGGTTACCACCAACACAAAACATGGGTCCAGATAGTTCTTACCACCATACAACATAGGTTCACAAAAGTTTTCACCTACACAAAACCTGAGTCTAGAAACATATGACGGTTTTTTTTTCTCTATCTTTGGGGATCCACTCCAGTATGTTCTAGAGCTAAATAAAAAAAAATAAACAAGTTTTGTTTTTCTTGCTATCCGTTTTTCATTAAAAAATTTTTTTTTTTTTTTTCAAATCATAAGCCATGAAACAATTCACATTAATTTACTTTATATTCAGTCTTACCCTAATTGATAACATGTACACATTTTTTCTATCCTTTCTCATGTTAATTATTTTGTGTGTGTGTGTGTGCATTTCATGTTTTGTATTCTTTTAAAACTCAAAACTCATTTGACTGACTTATACGTACACAAAATCTGACTTTACTGTTTTTATTTACCATGTTTAAAGTGGGTAGAATGGGAGCGAAGAAAGGTTTCAGCAGCATGACTAGTACAGTCACCATCGACTGTGCAGATCGGGTTTTCTGTTGGTTCTTGCTCCTGACAGAATAAATTCTATCCCCTTTGCCACAAATTCAAACTTTGGGTCTCCTAAAAGGGAGCCCAGCATTTTTAACCGCTTGCTGCCATCTGCTCCTCTAACCGTTTGTTGTTGTTTTTTATTAGAGTTTTTATGTGGAATTGTGGCCTTTATTTTTCAGCCATCACTTCAAGTTTTTAAAAAACAAAAACAAAAAATTCAAGTGTAAATCAGATAATTGTGCTTTTCTTATTATCCATGTTTGATAAATTTTTTTTTTTTTTGTTGTTGTTGTAAATATAAGCCATAAATTAATTTGCAATACTTGACTCTACATTCAGTCTGACACTAATTAAATAATGGTTTCTGTACCTCATCCTGAACTTATTTTTATCAGGGACCCTGCCAAGCTGTAACAGATTGTTTATTACACTGTTCCCCAGCTAAATCATTTTATTTGATATAAAACATAAGACCAGATTATGTTGACATACCACTTATAATCAAAACCACATTGTTTAATTTGACATTTCTAAGCTAAACCAAATTGTTTTACTGCACTTATTTCGATTAAAACCAATGCACCACTGTCACTTAAAACCAGCCTGTTTTAGTGCTGTCTTGCTTAAAGCCCAATAACTATGCGGCCATCTTTGCGGACAAGCCAGCTCACTAAATGGAGGAAGCACGGACATCCCCAGACCTGATAGCAGAATCCAGACACGAGGAGACCCAATCCACACCCATTTTAGGCCGGCCCAGGCAAAGTGTTAGTCCTTTTCAGGACTAACGGAAACCCCTCCCGAATGCCAGGAAAAACAGCCCTATCAAAAGCCTCTAAGCCAGGCCACGTTGGACATGTTACCAATAACCAAAACGCAATGGAAATTGATTGCCACACAAATCCAAAAAATCAAGCTCAGATAGCAAAGAAAGTGTCCTTAATAAAGCAGGCCTTAAGGCAGCTAAAAAAGGACTAAGCTTGAAAATTTTGTTTGTTTTCTACGATTACGATACACTCTTGCCCATGCAAAAAAGCAGGTCATTGTCGGAAATGATTCAGTGGATTTCCACCACAGAGTGAATTGCTTGTTGTTGTTGAATCAGTCAGTCACCAGTTTCATCCAATGTGCATTTAACAACCCCCGTAAACCAAATTGTAGTATTATAAATCAAGCACCGGCTGCATGAAATTGTTTGTTATATTGTCGCTAAACCAGATTGTGGTTTTTGTAAATCAACCACCAATTTTTCATTGTGTAGGTTCCGGGGCCCCATTTGTGTCTGTGTGTAGAGGTGGGGGTGGAATAGACCCACTATCCTTCCCCCCCCCCCCCCCACACACACACACAAGAATTGTGTAAAAGTAGAATGGGGGTCTCCATGGCTAAGTGGTCAAGTCGTTTGCCTCACGCTCTGAAGGTCGTGGGTAAACTCCACGGCTGTGCTCTTCAGTTCAGGATTGCAATTTTTACGGAGATCTCCAGGGATCATTGCCGGAGCTACAGAGGTTGTGCGTGAGATAATTTCTTTTGATATATTTGTCATTATTTTTTTTATCTGTGCATTGTGTTCTCGTCTGTTTTGTTTAAAACCACATCCTTGCAGCATCCACACAGTTTTACTAATCGGCTGACTGTCCGTAATTCACTGCCATACGTCAAGATTGGGTGACTGTCCTAATTCACTGACGTACGGCAAGATTGGCTGACTGTCCTAATTCACTGCCTTACATCAAGATTGGCTGACTGTCCTATTTCACTGCCACCTATCAAGATTGGCTGTTAATAACTCTCTCATCCATATGCCCTTAGCCTTTCACTAATAATAATCATCATCATCATCCTCTTGTACTGTGATGATAAACATGAACAGTTAGGGTATGCTGTCTCAGATCAGATCTGTGTTTTTGTCTTGGTTATGCCATAGAGGACTGCCTTATTCCATTTTTTGTCTTCTTTTTCTGTTTTCCCTCTTTAAAAGGGTGATTGGCACCTTGTGGTTAAATGCTAGATTGTGATATCTGTGTTTTCAGCCCAAAACATCCAATTTCAGAAAACCCCTAATTAGTTGAACTTTTGCGACCTGCATTTTAGGGAGCAGTGCATCAGTTCTTCTCCCCCCCCCCCCCCCCCCCCCCCCCGCCAAAAGGGACCCTATAATCCATATGGGCATCATTTTCTGCCTATCGATGGTGTCATGTCAGTTTGATCCAGAAACAGTTTTTGCCATCGTTATTTATCTCTCACAAACTCCTTTCTTATTGTCTGTTATTCACATGCCTACAACCAACCTGATGTGTTCCGTCTGGCTCGTTTCTCACTTCAGTTCGCACACGTACAGTTGATTATGTTGTCCATCTTACAGAAGGTTACTTTTACAATGGTGATTTTTAAAGTTATAATTAGATTCATATTTTGTAAAACCTTTTTATTATGAACTTAAACCTGTAAAAATATGTTTATTGTAATAGCATTATATATATTAGGTCTGGTTTTTATTGTTACATTGTATAATACTTTCTGTTGTAATAATTGTGCATTTCATTGTTCATGCCTTTTTTTTTTTTTTCATTTTTAGTTTTTGTTGATTTTTATAGTTTCTTTCTCACCTAAGGCTTATTTTATGACATTGTTTAATAATAATATTCTGGCTGAACGATTAGAAAACTGGGCTCTCAAGCGGGAGACCTGGGTTCGAATCCTCGATAAGGCTGGGTATTTTTTTCTGTTGGGGGCAAAATAAAATCCTCACCTGCACAGTCGTGGTGACAGCACTAGCCATGCGGCCGTAAATCCTCAGGCTAAAAGACCCCTCTGCCTACACCACAAAAGTGGTGTAATAAAGTCAGTAATTGACAGTTTAATAATAATTGTATTGTATGTTTATCTGTTTACATTATCCTGAATGCAAGCAAACAAAATATAGCCTAATATATTCTTGTGTGGCCGCTTAGTTTTAAAACAAGTATTACATTTAGCAACTGATTATGTGCAGTTTTCTTTGCGTGATTTGTTTGTTTGTTTAGTTTGTAGTTTATATGTCTGACATGTTGGCTTGTTATTTGTTGTACTGTTTCTCCTTTTTCTTCACATTCACCTGATGTTAACTCTGGCAGAAAATTCTGGTGGTTTGTCAACTTCAGGCTTTGGTCTTGTTCCGGAACTGGAGTTTTGCATGCGCATCCCATTTTACAGATCTGGCTTATTTGAATGCAGACTATGGGCTCCTTATTTCCCAGGCGATTGCACTCCGACTTTGAAGAAAACACCCTTCATTGGTCAACTTTACAACATGCTTATTAAAGGGACAGTGAGTCTTTTTCCCCAAAAAAACCCAAACATGGGGCTTTGTTTTGATATATGCTCCTACTCAGATAACTATGTATGACAAGTTAAATATTGTGAGGGCCCTTTGGTAACAGGTGAACAGTGCGAAGACACAAATACATCATGACAGT